GTCGTCATGCTCCAGGAGACACTAACAATGGGATCCGTGTGCTTCTCAGGATATCATGCCTTCACCACTCCAAACCTGGGATGGTGCTAGAGGCCTGATGACCCTGGTAAAAGAAGCTATCCCTTGCTCCTTAATAGCCAATCCGCCGCACTGTGGAGATGGTGTTGAATCTCTTGCTGTTGAGATTCAGCTACCTGGGGGCTCTATAAAAATATACAATATTTATAGCAAACCACTGTGTGAGAGCTTAGATCTAAACCAGGTCTGTGCTACTGCAGCACAAGACCGAGTGATCATAGGGGGAGACTTCAATGCACACATGGCCATGCTGAATCCCCGCAAAAGGCCGAACGCGGCAGGCATTCACATAGCAGAAGTGCTTGAGACATTCCCTGAGATCGCTCTTCTCAACACCAAAGAACCAACGCATGTGAAGGGAGGGGTCCTAGACCTCACCTTTGCCACTGCAACAATGGTGGAGAGAATTCGATGGTGTGTTGATGATACAGTTACTAGTGATCACTACGGCATAGTCACCACACTAATGGATGCAGGTCCAGCCCAAAGACCACATCACATTCCTAAATGGAAAACTGACAAGGCCAACTGGTTTGCCTTCCAGGAAGGCTTGGCTCGATGTCTGAGAGACAATGTACCCAATAACGATAATGAAGATGTGGATGTGCTAGAGGCAAGGCTAATCCAGGCCATAAACCAGGCAGCCTCACAAACCATTCCCAAAACTCGTCCATGGTCCAGAACTCACAAAGACGCCTGGTACTATAATGACGAGATCAAAAGAGGTCAACCACAGGGTTAATATGTGTAGAAAAAACTTCCGACGGCAAAGATCTCCCGACAACCTGGCCCTGCTGAGGGAAGCTGTTGTGGATGCCAAGGAAACTGCCAACAGAGTAAGGCAGGAAAAATGGCTGGAATGGTGCCAGTCTTTTGGGTACCAGACCAGCCTTACAGAGCTGTGGAAACGGGTCAGGCAAGCGACAAGCCGCCAAGCCCCGAAATGCACTCATCATGACCCACAATCAGAGGCTAACAGATTGGTGCTTGAGTTCTCTGCCAGAACCAGCACCAACAATCTGCCTCCAATGATGAGAGAAAAACAACAAAACTTAAATCCAGAAAGACTTGCTTCATAAGAGACAAGGCACTCGAAGCTGATGAAGCAGATGCCTTGTTCTCTCTTAGAACTAAGAAAATCATACAAATCCAGTTCTGGGTCAGCACCGGGATCTGATGGGATCTCTCACCCATCATTTCTCATCTAGGCCTTGCAGGAGAACTTGCATTCTTGCAGGTTATCAACAAATCCTGGCAAACAGCCACAGTGCCCCAGAACTGGAAACAAGCCACAATAGTTCCCATCCCAAAGCCAAAGGAGCCTGGCAAGTACCGCCCCATCTCTCTTCTCAGCTGCCTAGGCAAAACAGCTGAGAAGATGGTACTCAACAGGCTCCGATGGAAAAACGGGTCCCCCCCATGAACACCTGCACGGGTTCACAAGGGGTAAGAGCACTGCTCATAGCATTTCCACACTCTTAAGCACAATCTGCACCTCGCCGCCGTGGTTGTCTTCCTTGACCTGGAGAAGGCTTTTGAATTGGCAAGTCCACTTGCCATTCAAGAGACCCTAATCCACAAAGGAGTCAAAGGCAGACTCTTGGCCTGGATAGCTGACTATTTTAAAAATAGATCAGCAAATGTCAGATTTCAAGGCCCACCTCTCACAGCACATGCCACTTGAAAATGGAACTCCTCAGGGAGGGGTTCTTAGTCCAGCCCTGTTTAATACCCTCATGTCCAACATACTCGACATTCACCTGCCAGAGGATGCAAGATCATCTCTTATGCAGATGACTTGGCAATCATAGCCTCTGGCAACCACTGCCTAACTAGGGCTCAGCGTTGTCTGAACCTGGTGTCTGAAGAGTGTTGTAGGACGGGTCTAAAAATATCAGCAGCAAAATCCAAAGCAATGGCACTGAGAACCAATGTCAGAAACAAAAAAACTCACCATACAGGGTATGGATCTGGAATGGGTGAAGGACTATCTATACCTTGGTGTATGGATAGGACACACACTCACTTTCAAAAAGGAGATCCAATACCTGCTTGACAGAACCAAGGAAAGACTGTCAGTCATGAAAGTCATGACAGGGAGACACACATAGGAGCAGGACACAAAGTACTAAGATCATTCTATGTACATGCTGTCCGTCCTATTATTGACTATGCATCTGTCGCCCTCATTGCTTCCAGCACAACATTAAAAGAAAAACTGGAAACAATACAAAACGAAGCAGCCAGGATCATTCTAGGTGCACCTAAGTGGACAAAGGTCATCAACCTCCTCATGGAAACTGATTTACCGTCCGTGGACACTAGAATTGATCTAATGGCAGCACAGTTCCTTTCCAAGGTCCTGCAGGCACCCACAAACTCCTATTTAAGACAAAGAGTTCTCAGACGCCTACAACAAGACTATAAGTTTTTTGCAGACAATTCCTGGCTCACACATACAGCCAGAGTTTTGATACGCTTTCAACTAAAAGATTTATTGCTTGCCAAGGGTATGGACTCCCCCACCCTGACTACAAAGAACCCCCGCCGTGGGCAAATGAAATGATCGAATTCTCAATTTTAAATCTCACAATGAGAAAAGATCAATATTCCATGCCTAGCCTAAAGGCACAAGCACAAAGGGTCATTGAACAAATAACTCCGCCGGGTAGTATAACTTACTACACGGACGGATCCGTGGATCCAATAAACCATACTGCAGGCGCCGGCTTTGCAACAAAGGATACCACAGCATCCATTAGGGTCACTGACAATGCCTCAACGCTTCAGGCTGAAACGGTTGCGATCATGGAAGCATTGACACACGCGTCCCTGAGGGGAGGACACGTTGTCATTCACACAGATTCAAGAGCAACTATTGACAGTTTACAGCATAGCATGCCCCCAGATAACATCTACCTCTTGACAACAGTATTATACATAGCCCAAAGAATCCTTAGTCAAGGTAGAAGAATCATCATAAACTGGGTCCCAAGCCACATAGGCATACAAGGGAACGAGCTTGCTGATAAACTAGCCGAAAAGGGCAGGGGTATGCCCCCATCCTCCATGATCGTTAAACCCAGCCGAAGGGACTGAGCCAAGGTACCAAAGCTGCAGCGTGTGCGGTCCTCCGGGGAGCACATAGAGAAAACATCACAAAATCGCTCGCTGCCAAGTGGTACTCAGATGCTTCAGGCTATGAGCCACTGGCCCTTCCTCCAAACACAAAAAGAGGTACCGAAGTCATACTATTCAGACTAAGACTAGGTTACCAATGCGCTTGGCAAATTATTGACAGTGAGTCTGGGAGGTCATGTAAACACTGCGGCGAGCCTAACGCCACCCTGTTACATTACTTGCAGAATTGTGTACACACACAATTTCTGAGACAGGGACCACCCACCACAGCCGCCGGGCTGGTAAAAAGGGTGTGCAACATGCTTTCACCATGGCAGCTGGATCGCTTGCTTGCAATCCAGCCACCGCGGTAAGCATGCAGTTCAAAGAAAACATTTGAGTTAACTAGAAATAGTTAACACAGGCCGGGCCACCCCAGAGAAAAGGCCCGGGCGAAGCATGACTTCGCAAATCTAACTGAACTGAACTGAACGTAATCACAGTTATGGTAGAAGTGGAAGTTATGGCAAAGATGGAAGTCATGGTAGAGGTTATGGTGGTGGTAAAAATGGCAGCTATGGAGGTGATGGAAGGGGTGGAAGAGGCAGAGGCTATGAGAGTGTTAGTAAAGGTGGAGACTATAGTGGTAGTGGAAGCAGTGGAAGCTATGTCAGTGGTGGAAAAAGAGGAAGTTATGGTAGTGATGGAAGAACTTTAGCCTATAATGGTCATGGAAAAAATGGGTTCTATTGCAGTAGTGGAAGAGGTGGAAGTAGTAGAGGAAAAGATGGAGGCTATAGTGGTAGCAGAAGAGGTAGAGGTAAAAATGGAGGTTATTGTACTGGTTATCACTCCAGCAGATGAGGCAGCTACAGAGGGATAGGTTGATAAAGCAAAGAGGTTTATCTCGAATGATGTAGATTACACCATTCTTATTGTATCAAAGACTGTGTATAGGCCTGTATGTAAATGTCTATAAAATGCACAAGGAAGTGCTATTACAAATAACTGTGTATATCAGGGTATATTTGTACATTTTCCTTTTCATTGAAGTATGTTAAAAGTGCAAAGAACTGTTAACTTTCAACCCCTTGCAAAGTGGCTAAAGCTAACCACAAAAAAATAAACAAGAATATGTCAGGTTGGATGAGTGTGGATAAAGTGGTGGCTGGGGGATGCTCATGTAATCTTATAGAAACCGTGTTCAAGTAGTAGAGGATATGGAATGGAGAAAAAAAAAGAAAAAAAGAGAGAGAATGAGTACTCATATGAGTAAAAAGCTGTGTTGAAATTAGACCAGGGTTTCAAGTAAACATTCACTATTTACATTTGTAATGTGAACAGACTATGACTCCTTTGTTAAAGTAACTGTATAGTTTAGATATAAAATTTCCTCAGAGTCATTCTATATGGAACTAATTGGTTCAATTATCATAGTGTAACAAATATACAATAACAACCACAAAATTGTGTCACTCTTATGTACTCAGCTATGAAAAAAATATCTTTATTTGTTGTTTGTGAAAATGTCTGGCTTCCACTTTACAGGTGGGAGGAACTACTGTTAAGAACTCAATTTGAAGAGTGGAGTGAGTGAGCCCTGAACAGATTAGGGGGAATGAGCCCTTTTTTCACTATAAGTGAAAAAAGGGTCTCTATGCTCTGTGGAGACTAATTCTGTCAGTATAAAGAAGAGATATTACTATCTGTATATCAACAAAGCTTCTCTATTCTTATCTTCCAATTATCTTAACCAACACCATTGTCAACACCTTGACACCAAACAGACAAAAAAAACAAACCTGCAGAACTGGGGGAAGCATGGCCTGAAACTTTGAGCCTCGTATAGTAGAAAACATCTGGTTGACGAGGTCCTCTTGGTCTGATACATAATGCGATAATGGATACAGAGGCTGACTGAGATCAAGATTATCACTCTCGCTATCGGATTCCGGGTTCTGAAAAAAAAAGACAGTGGTTTGTATAATGGAACTTTCAGATTCATTCCTTGATGAGATCTCTTTAAATATATGTATCTTTTCCTTTACAATTTGGCATTTATGTGATTCAAATTAGTTAAAACTGGTATGAGTAAAATTAATAACTGTTGAAATTAGTCTGTGAGTAAAAAATAATAACTGCTTCCACTTATAGGCATTGGGATCTTAAAACCACAAAAAGCAATTGTTTCTCACCTCTAATCCTGTCTTCATCTTTTTCTTCTTTTCTTTCTTGAATTTGGCCTTTTTAGTCTTCATTTTCTTAAGCTTTGGAAGAGAATCTGTGTCTTGTGTAATCATGTTTTCTGTTGACTCCCTACTGCCTAATGCCAAATGAAAAATATACTATCAATATTGTGAATATTTTTTCATTCCTGCCTTTATCTATTTTTCCTTTTGACTTTGAAGATGAATAACACAGGTAGGAATACCAAGAGAAAATGGAAGAAAACATATGGTAATTATCAACAATGACATACTGCTGATAATTGTGAGATTGACACTGAAAGATTACCAAGAGCATGTATTTTTCATTCCCAGTGTCCTCAATTGTTACCTAAAAAAGGTTTTATGAATTTGCTTTATAATTTGGCTTAAATATGATTATATTATTGAATATATGTTTACAAAGTTATAAGATTTCAAGTAGGAAGCTTTTGTAAAGCTTTAAAACTTAAACATTGTAGAAATGTTTAAAATTGAGTTCTTGAATGTCCTACAAAATTCAAATTTCAAAAAAATTCTTTTGTTATTCTTATAGGTTACAGAACAAATCCCAGGGCTGCAAAAAATTCTATCTACTTTTAGTTTTCTGGGATCACACTATTATTCATCATTAATTGTTGGTAAATATGAGTCACCACTAATAATGAAACACACCTCTATGGATAAGTTACAAAATGTACCTTCAATTTCTAGCAATTTTATTTTGCCCTCCTGAATCAACACTGGTGAAATAAAATTACTTAAAATATACGTTACTTAAAGTGGCTGTCAAAAAGGAACTTCTCATAATCATTTTATTTTGGTGTTTTGCTGATGATTTACATTATACCAAAAGGCACAGAGGCTGCAGCAACAAGTACAAGAGCCAGTGGTGGACACACAGGCTGTCTTGTGAACATTTACCAATAACACCCAGCCTGTAGAGTATTTTTCTTGTGCAGGGAATATTACATTTTTTCATGCACAGAAAACATCTGTCCTCACTCACTGTCCACATTGCAAATATATCATTTTTATTGCGCGAAAAGCTCCCGTTAGTGACAAACTTGGCCCCGATAGCAAGGGAGGCCATGAAAGGTTCCAGAGAAAATGCGGGGTTAAATAAAACTAATGATATAACCTACAGTGAAAGTAACCATGGTTATTCACATGACTTTCCATTGCAGAGGGCTGTGCCCCCTGCGACCCCCCAACCCCCATCAAAGAAGCAAAACCTTCACCACATATTCCCGGCAGGCTAGAGCGTTACAAAATTATCGTCGATCTCAGAGCGGCAGATGTATTACAATTACCCCGTAACATTCCCATTGAATCAGCATACTAACCTTGACATAGTCAGCATTGTATACAGAAACTATTGTAGTATAATCAGGATGAACAGGGTATACCATGAAGAGAAGAGCGCCCTCGTGGACTCAAGGTCGAGTTTCCCATCCTCTGGAACCACGATTTTTTAATTCCTAACTGTAATAACCGTCGCGTAGTCTGTCACAGCTGTCGCGAAGACCGGGTGTTGAGGATGCTTCTACTCCTAGACCGATTTCCTGCGCGAGGTAGCAACCAGCCAGGAACAAATGCTGGAAATGTGCTTCCGCCACAGCCTCCTCCGTTGGGAAAGAGCCTACGGCAGGTGTGGGCATACAGCACGCCTGGACATGAAGAAGAAAAGGTTCAGGAGCACCCTCACTACAATCAGTGGCATCTATTAATCAGGTTAGTACCTTAAAAATCCTAGGTTATGGTAGGTTATCGGCTCCGCATCTAGTTCGTATGTTCTCTGTCCTGCCGTGAATACGTGGGAGATATTTTGTTTCCTCAGCGGGGGATGGGGGATGGCAGCAGCCCCAGGGGGGGTTGCAGGGGGCATTGCCCCTTTCAATCGAAAGTCATGTGAATAACCATGGTTATTTTCATGGTGAGTTATATCATTAGGGTAATTTTCTATATTATGTCCGCCGCTCCGACACCGTTGCCCCTGCTAATTGGGGCAAGTTTGCCGCTAACGGGGGGCAATAAAACCTACATATTTGCATTGTAGAGAGTGAGAGGAATCCAACGATACCAAAATCGTCGATATCGGAGTGGCGAAGGTAATATAGAAAATTACCAACAATGATGTATCTACCAGTGGTTTCTGCATTATTCCCTGTGGCCTCTGTATCTCTTGATGTATTGAAGTGGCTGTCAATAAGAAACTTCTCATAAAAAAAAGATCCAGGGGATACACACTACACATGTCTAAAACCCTATAAAAGAAAAAAGAAGAACTTCTCATAATTAGGTGTCCATTTCCTACGCCCTGTAAGTGATTTATACCTGATGTTAAACATGTCTTACAACCTATGCCTCCAGAATCCTCCAACATATTGCTCTTAATTATGTGTAAATACTCATCATATTGTATATAACTAACCTACAACCTCTGCCACTTCAAAAATCCATAGGTAATTATCAATATACCTCTTACGTAAGTTAAAGAAACACTGGACCTGGACTCATGATTATCCTCATCATAACATCACATGCTTTACCTTGGAAAGTCTTTCCAAAATGTTGTAATTCAAAATAGTAATAAGTTTCCCCCAAATTGACGTTCA